CTATATTAATTTACCAAGCATTGTACAGACACAGGAGTGCCAACTTTCCTTATTTTCTTAATTAAATGGTGGGCTACAACCATTACCTGCAGAGTACAATGTTATACAATGCCGTGCATTTAGTCTGTGCCAGTGACTGGCACAGCACACGGCGGGCCCGAGATAAGGGAAGAAGTGGACTGGGAGACTACTGCAAGCTCCTTCCCAAGAAGACTCTTGTAAGATGACTTTAGATGCATCTTGATAACTGTATCTTCAGGGTCATCCATATTCTAGACCTTCTGCAACCTATTGACATATTCAGACTGGCTCTATGCAATTTGTTTGGTCTGCTGCAGGAATTTAAGCAAACAAATTCCTAACAGTAAAGCCAGTTCCCAGAAACTCTCCTAAGTCAGCAGCTTCCACAAATGACCAGGATTCAAAGTAAGATTTGAGGACAGACTCACGTTCTTCACAGAGGCGCCCCATCCAGCCATCTGGACAGGAACAAGCGTTTGGGCGTTGGCAGATACCTCCATTCTGACATGGGAATCGACAGACAGCTGGAAAAGAAGCAGGATGGGTCATAAATGTAGGAAATTATTGGGAGGGTGGTAGTCAGAAAATACGATTGCTCATTTACTTTTCATAATATTTCCTTGACTGAAGCTTTAAGGAAGAGAAACAAAAATGAATCTCTAGTGGTTATTTTAATATATGGAAAAGTGAAGCATTTTATTGGTTGTAATCATTGCAGATTTTTCCCTAGCTTCATTGAGGTACAGTGGACAAATAAAAATTGTGTATATTTAAGGTTTACAACCTGATGTTTTGATACATGTATAAACTGTGAAAAATCACCACAATCAAGCTAATTACCATATTCATTACCTCACATAGTCACATACCAGTGAGATCACGTAATATATGTTTTTCTGTGTTTGGCTTATCTCACTTTGTATAATGTCCTCCAGGTTCATCCATGTTGCCACAAATGGCAGGATTTCCTTCTTTTTTATCACTGGATAACATTCTAATCTCTCTCTCTATCTATCTACCACATTTTCTTTATCCATTCATCTGTAGACAGACGTTTAGGTTGTTTCTACATCTTGGCTGTGATGAATAATGCTGCAGTCATTGCAATTTTGATTTTTGCTAACTCCTAGAAGAGATCTCAGCTCTAGCACTCCTTACAGCTTTCCAACGTGCTAGGCCCCTTCGTGACTTCAGACTATGCACATGCTGCCGTTTTCTCTGCCTGAATACTGTTCTCCGTCTCTTCCCTTTGCTCTAATCCTCTTTCCTGCTAAACCTCCTCTCCTTCAAGACCCAGTTCAAACACCTTCTCTGTGAAACATTCCCTGCCTCACCTCCCAATTCTCAAGCAAACAAATCATGGTTTTCCTCTTCCGCATTTCCAAGTACTCTGCAACTTAATATGCCTCCATTATATGTGTGCTCGTGTCACCAAATCACCTACCACACTCTAAGGCAGATAGATCTGTGTTTCTGTCTTCCTACTTATCTTTCTGTCTTTCCCAGAATAATCAAAATGTCTGGTATAGGTACTTACATTTTTTCTTGAAAAAATTTTTCTCTGATTCTCAGATCAATTTTGGAGGCCTGGGGACCTTTCCCATGTCCCTCAAGCCATCTCCCAGAGTCTTAGGTCCAATGACCTTCCCACAGCCTCTAGAGCGGTGGGTAATCTTTGGGATTCAGAGTAAGCCACATAAGGGGAGGATGTGGCTCCTTCTGGTGGGGCAGTACCTATGAACTTGGGCGATTCTGAGGATGGTCTGTGAATCCTAAATTAGACCAGACCTGACTCGATGGAGTTCACAGGCAAAGTTGTTTTCATATGAAGGTTCTCCGGCCTGTACTAATCACAGGGGGATCATCTGGTCTATTTCCAAAGAAGCCTCAGCATTACCCACCCACAATGGGGCCTGCGGAGCTCCAGTGAGCCACCCCATAGCATCCTCTTCAGATTCTCCTAGTACCTAGTAAGGTATATTGTATCTCGCTTTGGCCCAGGGAGAAGAGGAATCAGCTGTGCCCTGGGTCCATTTCTTTTCAGTGACTCAAGGACTTCTTTACTCAGCCTTCCTTATTCTGTATATTCAACCTGTCCCTTCTATTGTCTCTTTATCCAGCAGAGAGGGCACCAAAAGATTTTGGATACAGTACGACTTTAGGAACAGCACTGGGGTTGGGTTTAGGGAGGAGGCAGCCCGAGGGTGTGTTTCAAAGGTGCAGTTTAAAGGGTATGCACACAGGTTTTACTTAGACTGCTTACTCAACATGGCTTTAGGGGCAAGGAGCTCACAGAGAAGACTGGGGAGATTTTAACCCCTCTAAGACATCCCTGGTGATGCCAGTGTCCCCTCAGTATCTTATGTCTTAAAAAAAAAAAAAACCCTCACATCACGTTCCTCTCCAACTAACCCCAAATAACCTAGTGTCAATTGACTAGATCATCACTCGGCCTATGACCGACACCCAGTTAATACCCTGCCCTCTTTCCCAGCCCATCAGGTTTTATGGAGTAGTTTGCATCTGCTTCCATCTTTTCTTCACCTCCTCTTCACTCTTCACACCACAGTAATCCAGCTTCTGCACTCAATGCCCCCTGAAACCGCTCGAGCTTCCCTTACTGATATCTCACCAACTCTCCAGTCCAATGCAGGTGCCCCCCACTCCTGCTTTCCCGGACCTCCCTACAGCATAAACCCATTCTGTGGTTTCAGGCTTGGTGATGAACATTAGGGGCTCAGGTGAGACATAAAGAAGCCAGGGCAGTTCTGCAAATGTGGCTAGCGAGGTTTTAGTGATTTGGGGGATTCGGTAGAAGGGGACAAGGGGGTTTATATAAAAGATAGTCTCTTTGGATTTGGACCAACAGAAATGCCCCTTCCAGAAGATTTGAGAATGTCTTTCCAAAGGAGACCTTTGATGGCCAGCAGCTCTTTGGAGCTTCCACTGCCCCTCAGTATTTTAAAACAAACAAGCGAGGAAGCAAGCAAGCAAGCAAACACACTTTTGACTTTAACTGAACCCTGGGATATTCCTTGAAGATGCCCCTCCTCGGAAGCCCTCTCAAAGGAAGGTTGTACATTCTCTTACCTGCCATGTGCTGGTGATCTCATTGCTGCTGCCAGATAATTAATCCCCTTCCTCCTCCTATAACCCCTGCCACCTTTGAGGCTCATACCATTCATCTGTTCACTTCCTCAATTTTTCCTGCCCCCATCAATCATTAAAGACTTTGGCTTTTTCACCCCGAATCCAAACCTGACCTTTATCTATGTAGACAACACATCCAACAACTTGATTATTTCTTTAGTTCCTTGGTTATGACTATTTTGTTCACTAGCACCTTTCCTAATTTTCAGTAAATATTTGTAGAGTAAATGAAATAATTTTTGGGATTTGTCAAAAACAGGGTTTATTAGAAAAGTGTAAGTTTTAGAAGGACATACTAGAATGCCTCGTTACCTTTTTCCATTTTGCAGAATTTCAAGCACAGAACCTAAGAGCTCTATGTGCAAGCTTTCAAAACTCTAACCATAAAGATAAAGAAAATGACATAGAAGGACATACTAGAATGCCTCGTTACCTTTTTCCATTTTGCAGAATTTCAAGCACAGAATCTAAGAGCTCTATGTGCAAGCTTTCAAAACTCTAACCATAAAGATAAAGAAAATGACACGGCTATTAGGTGAAAATTTAAAGCTAAGAAAAAATAAAACAGCATTCATACTAATTGTTGGCCATAACAGACTGTCATACACATTTCCCTGCAGCATCACTAAGGAATAACCCCCCAAATATTTCCTTACCTCTGCAAATAGGAGGTGATGTCCAGGTTCCATTTTCTAGGCAAACACTCCTTAGGGAACCCTCCAGCATGTATCCACTGTAACATGAGTAGGTGATCATGTCCCCATATTGATAATGGATGCCTCGCACAATTGCATTTTCTACATGAGCTGGTGGACCACATGAGATTTCTATAGGAAAACAAAACAATTAAGTCTGTGCTACTAACCCAGACTGAGAACACACTCTCATCTCTGACTGAATTAATTTAAAGAGCAAAGATAAAACACATAAAGAAAACATTCTCACCTACATAATATCTAGAATACTACAAACTAAAAGAATAATCTGCTGCTGTTTAGAAAAACTAGAGGTACGAGATCAAAGGTTTTTAGTCTTCTGATTCAAATGTTCAAGCTGAGCTATTTGAAACTCAAGGAAAGAAGTCTGTAGGAGACCAAAACTGAACTCTTAGGGAACTGAAGTCCAATAAATCAAGAAAATTAAGGTCACTCAGGTAGAAATTCATATAACCTGATTTAGAACTCATGCCAGATCAAGAATCGAAGTTCTTCCTCTATAAGCAGTATCACCTAAATTAGAAGACTGTTTCTCAAGTACTATGTTTTAAAAGTTTGTTAATATTCAGGCTGGTGACTCCTTTAAACTGAGAATACTTGTTTTTCTTTTTATTTCATGTATAATAATGGTATGGTATTCACTTTGCATATTGTGATGATCTTTTTTTTTAATAATCATGACCAACAAATCAACTGTCAGTTAATTTTGGGTTTGTATATATGAATTAGCGATTGACCATTATATGAGGGTACTTCAAAAAGTCCATGGAGAGATTTGTATTAT